ATAATTTATATCTTCCTTTTAGCCTCCATATATAATTTAGTTACTTTTCCAAAACTGCCTCTTTGTTCAACCTAACATAAAAAGCATGTAGATTTTGGTACCTCTTTAAGGGTTCCAAGTCATATAAAACTTAGATTTCTTCTTGTTAGTCTGTCTTATGTCAATTTAATTCTCAGGTCTCCCAAATACTATAAAAGGGTAAAGATAAAGTTTTGCCTCCTCCTCTACATATTTACAAGTCCAGCCTCATTCAGAGATTAGCTGGCCATTTCTGAATCCTAATCCTCAGTTCACAGTGGAGAGAATCTGGGCGGCCTTGCTTAGGTTAAATATCCTCTCTTGGTCCAATCATTTATAGCTCTGGAAGTAGTCATACTATGTAAATCCTCTAACCTCAGCCCCCCAAGTAGCTGGGATTTCAGGTGTGTGTCACTACACCCAGATTTGCCACCACCCTTCAAATGAAAATTTGTTACTGAGTGGTCAGATTGTGCCATATGAAGTGAAGATGCAGTAGTCATACTATATAAATTTGGCTAATTCTGTGCTTGGCTCAGGGAAGAAAACTATTGTGAACTGGGCTAATACAGTATGAGGCATCTACACAGAAACTCACTCCGTGCTTGATCATTTCTTTCTACCCAGTATATTTTCTATTTCTCCTAAATAAAAGTATTAGATCAAGAATGTAATGTTCCTGACCTAGCAAACTCACAAAAATTCAGACAGCAATACACACTGATGAGGAGATAGCCACTCATACCTTAGTGGTGTGTGTGCCAAAGGGCACAAATTCCATGTAAAAGTTATAATTAAAAAATACATATGTGCTTACCTTCTCACCTACCAATCTCACTTCTGGTGGACTGCTATTCAACAGGGATCAAGAGAAATGGCCCAAGAGCATAGATGTTTTCAACCTCTATGATACCAGATGATAGAATTTTTAACCCAGGGATGATAGAAACAAGATGGAACTAAAAAGCACACATACTCCTTCTCAGTCAAAGCTTTATTGAAAGGGTATCAAGGGACTTCAGCTGAACTGGGGTTCCACCTGAGGGAAGTCAGTAGTTGGTTGAGAGAGTGATCATGCTGCTGCTCCCAAAATGAAAACAGCAGCAGGTTTTTATTGATTAGTTGACATAGGCTAAAACCTAGTCATTGTCCTTGGCCTGGAGCACAATTCCAAAGATATTTCTTCTAGTGATAGACTTGACCCACCACATCATCATGATCAACTTGTACTAGAGGCTGCTGAATTTTTGTATATTTGGCATTATTTGGTTGGCTCTGTCTCTATTGTTGAATACCATGAAAATCTCATTAACCACAGGCCAAAAGAGTTTGGTCTACCTTTTCCAATTTTTGTGATTTTTTTCATGATGTCTGGGGTTAACTGTAGCTCGAAAAAGGATCAAGGTAAATTCCTCTTACTTTAGGTTGTTTAAGTTGCATTTTCCCCAATTAGATAGCACTAGAAGGGATCTTCTGGAATGCTATTTGGTGTTTCTCATATCTGAGACCTCCTCTGTAAATTTGGAGTACAATAATTAGTCATGGGGAAGGGTATAAAGCCCAAGATCAAGCACGTAGGTAAATGTTATGATACTCTTTGCCCCATACACTTTAAATGTGAAATTTGTTGCACCAAGGGAAAGAAAGGCCTCCACACTGGGAGTTGGTATACTAAGAGGAAAGTAAACAAGTTGTACATAATAGCAAGCAACATAAATCAAAACACAGTGTGGGGCAGGATTTTCAGGAAACCTAAGTAGAGAAGTTAGATTTTTGCTACAGTCAATGAAGGACTCAAATATTTTCTACCTAAAGACAGTTATGGGACTTGAAACCCCTATTTATGTGGCAGGAGACTTGAACTCTTTCTACACTGACCACCAGTCAGGGTACTCAGTTTTCTGTTGGCAACCTCCAAACCAGGGGGTTGAGTCTTGGTGAGGACTTCTGGCACTCTGATTCAAATAGGTGTGGCCAAGAAGGGAAAAGAAGAAGAGAGAGAAAGAGAATACAAGGAAAAAAATGTAAACAAAGCTTTTGTAATAAGGAGGGGAAGGGGATTGAAGGGAAGGGAGGGAATTAGGGAATAAAGAAGAATCAAGATATATCATTTACAGGTACAAATTTCTAATGATGAATGTAATTATTACAAATATCTAAAATGTACCAACAAAATTAGTTTGAAAAAATAGGTGTGACTGGAGGCCTCATTCCACAAAGGATTCTAGACCCCCAATTTGAATGGAAGCTAAAAGATGGTAAGAAAAGAGAAAGGGGGAAAAGAAAAGAATTTCAAGAAAAAAGAGACTAGTAGGTACCTGCATGGTTGGTTTCTGAAAGCTCCACCAGATCACAAAGTATCAGTGTGTAGTATCAGCCATCTCCCAAGTGCCACTTGAATCTGCATGGCTTGGGGAACTCCACTCAAAAGAGGAGTTGTAGTACTTTGGGCAGATCAATTTTATGCCCTTTTGATTTTTGAAAATAAAAGAGGTAAAAGAAGGTGAGAGAAAGAAAAAGGAGAGGAGAAGGGAATGGGGAAGGGAAGGGAGGGGAGGGGAGAAGAGAAGATGGAGGAGAGTACAGGAGAGAAGAGAGGAGAGGAGAGAAGAAAAAAGAGGAGAGGAGAAGAGAGAGGGGAGGGGAGGGGAGGGGAGGAGAAGGGAGGGAAGGGGAGGGGAGGGGAAGGGAAGGGGAGAGAAGAGAATAGAATTAAAGATGGTGGGAGGGGAGAGACAGGAAAATCAAGCAGACCAAGGGAAATTGAAGATTTACCTGGCACTACAGTTCCAGAAAAAAGAAAGTTCAAATAGCCATACAATCACTCATGTTGGGTTAGCATCCAGGACTCCTAAATCCAGCAGGTCCCATCTTGTGCTTGCACAATGTCCTGGTGGGTTGGCCAAAGATATGATACTGGATCATAAGAATCTTCTGAGACTAGGCCAAATGTTTGTTTGTTAGTTTGTTTGTTTTAAGACAGGGTTTCATAGGTAGTCCAAGCTGGACTTGAACTCGTATGTAGGCCAGGTTGGCCTTGAACGCACCATCTTTCTGCCTCAGCCTCCTGAGTGCTAGAATTACTGGCAATCACCACCATGCTCAGCTTGAGAGTGGGCTAAATATTACAAGTACACACACTCCTACAAAGGCAAGCTTCATTGGGGGAAAAGAGGGCTTCAGCTGAACTGGCAATTCATCTGAAAGGAGTGAGCAGTTGGTTGAGTGAGTGATCAAAGAAATCAGCAAGATTTTTTTGATTTGTTTGGGTTGGCTGAGGTTCAGCAGTGCTCATTGGCCTGGAGCATAGTGCCAAAGGATGTTTCTCCTTGTATTGGTCAACTTATCCCAAAGGCTGTTGAATGTTTGTGTATCTGGCACCTTCATTCTGCATGAAGCATTCTGGCCTTGTGGGTTTGCTTCCTGCAATAGCACCCAAAGGACTTGAGGTTCTTGGGCTTTAATAGTAAGAAGCACAAGGATGGGGATAGAAAAGAGAGAAGAAGAAGAAAAAGGAAACATCAACTTCAATGGGCAATTTACCCTGCACTATAGTCTTAGACTGAACATTTTTAAGTGATCAAAATGTCTGTGTGCACACCTGAGTAGAATCTGACCCAAGGGTTAAGACAGCAAAGAGGATAGACAATATGAAGACAGAGTTGCCATGCCTTTTATCCCATTTTAGTCCCCCATCAGACATCTGCATGCTCAAATGAAGTCAGTGTTTTTAGCAAGCATGGACTTCAAGTCCCTAGAAAGTAACCAAGGCACACTATCATAACACACACATCAGAGGTGTCATCTGCAGCAAAGCCAGTGGGAAACTAATAATGTATTGCCCAGCTATGTGACCTCCAAACTCAGTGATTTTTAAGTTGACTAAAAGCAATGAAGTGAGAGGGCTTAGATTTTTTTTCCCTTCATAACAATTTCTCACTTCATGTAAACATTCTGCTTTTATGGTTTTATGAGGGTCTCATGATCTGTTAAAAAGAGCACAAAGGTAGGGAAATAACATGCCATGCTACAAAGAGTAATAGTTTACTGCACCCAAGAGTTATTTTGTTTTCCCAGCCTTTTGTCCCATGATGGTCACACCATGAGAGCCCCTGTACCTACACTTAAAAAAAATAGACAAAAAATACCTTATTGCAATATCAGAAACCAAAAAATTACTCAGGATCCCCATTCTTTACACTCCAGTAATTAAATGTAGTCACTCTTGGAGCACACATGTACTTATATGCCAGGTACCAATAGAAAAAACTTCATTCAGTCATTAAAACTTTTAATTTACAGGCAACATTTTAGTACTGCTGCTATTTCATATTGTGAGAAAAATATGCCCTATATAGTGCTAATATAACTTATAGGGAAAATTGCTCCAAAAATATCTAGTCCCACTGGTGTATGGTGTTGCGGACTACACTAATCACCTTTCTCTGCAACACAACCTGTGGAATGACATTCATGTAAAAATTCTTTAAGTGATATGCAAAAGATATGGAAATGTTTTTCAATCAAAATAGTTCAGGCTGGACATGGTGGCACATGCCTGTAATCCCAATACTCTGGAGGCTGAGACAAGACCATTCACCGTGAGCTTGTGGCCAGTTTGGGCTACAAAGTCAGTTCAAGGCAGCCTGAACTACATAGTGAAACCCTGTCTCAAAAAAAAAAAAAAAAAAAAAGACAAACTACTTCATGTACATTGACTGAACCCTTGAGAAAATACAGAGTATGGTTTTAGACCAATCGTAATAATACATGCTTGAAATTCCAGTTACTCAGGAGGCTGAGCCAGGAGAATTGAAAGTCTGAGATCTGCATGGGCAACTAAGAGAGAACCTATCTCAAAAAAAGGGTGGGGGAGGTATGACAGGGCTTGTAGTAGAGCACTTCTGGGTTTAACCCCCAATATTAAGGAAAAAAAGGAGCATGGTTTTAAGTCATTATTTATCCTTTTTTTCCCCGTGCAGTACATCTCTTCGTGGGTTACAGACCTTAAAAGTGAAATTTTTGAGGAACTCCTTAAGCACCTTTGCCACAGTGCAGATGAATTCCGGGAATTCATAAAAATTGACATGCAGAGACAGATGTTTGTAGAGCTTTTCCTGCATTGTGACCATGGGAAGGTAAGACTTTTAAAGCATTGCTTCTTGTACTATTTGTTATGAAAAACCAGTTTTTAGGTTGTTGTTGATGGTGATGTTTTAAATTTCTAGTATGCTGTGAATGGATATGCAATGAAAATGGATTATGGGGGGCATACAAAATATAATTCACATTTTAAATTGTTAGATTCAAATCCAATTTATTATTAGGTACTTTCTCAGATTTCTATATACTTTTCTAGATGTTATTCTCATTTTTTACACCTTTGTTATTACAGACTGGCACCAGCCTGTAGACCACATCTTCTCATTACTAAGACAGTGGGAATTTAAAATTGTCTTTCTTTTCTGTCTTTGTTGGTGGTTTGCCATGTACAAGAGTTCCTAAGAATAGAAAGCCTATTATTTTTATTATGTTGGTTCTTAAAAATAAAAAGAATTTAAATTGGGAGGGATGGCACATGCTTGTAATCCCAGAACTCAGGAAGCTGAGTCATGAGGATTGCGTAGAGTTCAAGGCCAGCCTGGGCTACATATACATAGTGAGTTCAAGACCAGCCTGAACTGCATAGCAAAGACCCTGTCTCAAAAAAAGAAATTGAGACTAAAAGAGTAGAAACACTTTATATCAAAAAGGTTGTTTTTTTTGTTTTGTTTTGTTTTGTTTTTTTTTTTGTCTTTTTGAGACAAGGTCTCACTATGTAGTTCAGGCTGGCCTTGAGCTCACTTTGTAGCCCAGACTGGTCTAGATCCTCCTGATCTTGAAAAGATCCTCCTGTCTGCCTCAGTCTCCCAAGTGTGCCACCACACCTGGCTCAAAACATATTTCTAAGGATGAGGTTTAGGAAAACATTTGTGTGCCAGGATACAAAATGGACTTGAAAATAGATACAAATTGTACTAAAGTATGTTTATTTATGAATATATTACTTATTTATTTATAACTCTATGTTCCAGAAAGGATGCAAGAAGTCTTACAAGAATAGAAAACAATGCAGGGGCAAAAAAGAGAGAATACTGTATGAAATTATAATTTAGCCATAATGACCTAAATATTTGTTGTAGGATGTATACAAGTTTGAATCTAAGCTTCCTGCCAGTGAATGTGGAAAAAAAAAATATGACTAAACACACTATTGACAATATTTTTAAGATAAATGCAAACTGCTACTAAGAAAAAGTATATCAGTTTGAAATTCAAAATACGACCAACCTATTGGTAGTCATTAAAGGGACCTTATGTGATAACTGAACATCTTTTCTGATGGACTTGTAGTGAATGAATCAGTGACTTTCTCAGGGTAGTTTCTTTTTTTCTTCTTTTTGAGACAGGGTCTCACTATGCAGTTCAGGCTGGCCTTGAGCTCATGTTTTAGCCCAGGATGGTCTCGAATTCACAATGATCATCCTGCCTCAGCCTCCCAAGTGCTGGGATTCCAGGCATGCGCCACCAGGCCTGGCTTTCAGGGAAGTTTCTTATAACCCCTTAAGTGTAGGCCTAGGATACCAGTCCTGACTATAATTCAGAAAAAGCAGTTCCTAAAGAACCTGATATATGCAATCTAGATTCTTAGATCGCCTCTTGCTTGGCTTGATCAGGAATATTTTGTATAAAATCTAAAATGTCTATGTGTATTTCAACAATCCCATGAACAGTACTTGTTTGAACAGAATTTCTAACAAACACTGGGTGATAGAGGCATCAAGATTTTACTGATAAAATGCCTGGAGGACAACTGCTCTCTGTTGGCCCATTTAACATCAACCTATATGCCATAGCAAACATAATGGGATAGTATTTAGAAAAATGAATGGATGTTTGCAATTTTGTGCTCTTTGTTTTTCTTTTCATCATTGAGACAGAAGTCATGTGTTGATCTTTGATGGATAGAATCTAGAATAAAGAAATTCACTGAGCTTCTGAAGGAATATTTTAAAATTGATTTTATTGGTATGCTTTGATACACATAATGTTCATGTTAATCATAAGGAATTTGTATCTGTTCATAATATATCTTTTTATTTTAAGATAAAAAGAAACAAAATAATACAGAATTTCAAAACAAGATGATAGGAAATTAACAATGGTTATTATATTGTATATTGCTATCTTCAAAGTAGTTGCTCAGATTACCAGATATAGGCATGTAAGATTGATCAAACAATATAAACACTAACTGTTCCTTTCAATGAACTGATAGAAATTAGTAGTACAATTATCTTAGGTTTTATATATTTTATATAAAGAT